ATGTTTTGTAAATTAACCAAATTTATTTAGGGTACTGAAGCTGCTGTTAAGCTGTTCTTTAATTTTGGCCGCCATTTTAAAAAGCGCCCTCAATTGCCTCTCGAAATCTTCACAGTAATAACTTTAGCTAATTATACTTTACTCCTATCATTACATATTCAAAAGTTGGTCAAACCTACCTCTTCTGTGCTTATTTTACCCATATATATGTAGTTTATTGGATTTTGGCAGCCATTTTGAAAAAAGTGCCCTCACGCGAAAGTTCTCAGGTTACGCCCCTTTTACCTCGCATATTCTGATTCCCCATAAAAAACTGGTCTAGAAAAACCATATGAGAATTTCTACCTCTCTAAGTGGCACCTATCTCAATTATAGCCTGGTCTATTATATTTTCAACCAACTAAAACTTCCTTATACTCTTTTTATATTATAATTTTAGTATTCATGCAGACACTGAGATCCAGGGTAGTCAGTTTTGAAGAAGCTAAGCCTAGTTTCTGCAAACCAAATATTTTTAAATATAAAGGAAATGGACAAAATATCAGCAATGAAACTTTGGTATGCATAAGATAGATAGCCAATGTATTATCTAGCAAAGGATTATACTGTATGTTTAAATCAATGCCATTTAAAATACTAGAGTGTTTACTCCATAGCCTACCGTACGCCTTGTCCCTGAATACCAAATAATAAAGAAAAAACCAAAAATGTTGACTTCCTGTGAACTTTTAACTTTTTATCCCAAAATTGTAATCACCTCTTCCTTAGGCCACTATTATATCTCCATTAGGTTTAATGATTCTTCATTCATTTTTTTCTTTGCATAATCCTTATCCAATGTGATTTTTCAAATTTTACGACCTCCAATGTTGACCTTTTCATCATTTCTAACACAAAGATCTCAACAAGTCATATTAGATGGAGATTTCATACTCCATAAAGGGTACATCTGGTACAGTGGCGGCGCTAGTAGGGGGCAGCAGAGGCTTAACTCCCACCTCCCCTGGACAGGTCAAGCTCCCTCCCCCATTGAACAGAGCTCGTCGGGCAAAATATATAAAAAATAGGCCCACGCCAAGCCAACAAATGTCTGTCACAATCAGAGAGTGTCATTTCTGGCCATCCAGGGGTTCCCAGGCCCGTATCCAGGGGGTTTTTTTATGGTTCGGAAGAACCCCCCTTTTGTAGCAAACCCCCTCTTTTCTGGTGAAACCCCCTCTTTAAATTTCCCAAATAAGTCCTCCAACACAACTAATGCACTGCAGACCAACACAGACACAGACATTTTCAAACATATCTGCTTTTATAGCATTATTTAGACCCATAAAGCACAACAATCCTCTTGCTTTGGGGGTTTCGCCGACCCCACCGGGGCTTCGACTGTGGACCTCACGCCCAGAAACCCCCCCCCCCCTTGGAAGAACCTGACACCCCCCCCCCTTGGAAAAACCTGGCTACAGGACTGGGTTCCTATTCTTTAAAAAAAATCTCATTTGGGAGGGGGAACACCCTCTCAAACCCTTCCCCCAGCTCGGGCCTACCAGCTCAAGTCCCCCTGCCGGACAGCTCATCCCTTCCCGCACCCCCACAAAATATATCCTAGAGCCGCCACTGATCTAGTGTCCCACAAGGTACTGTGCCTGGTCCGTTGCTGTTTTTACTGTACCTGCACGATAGATCAAATCTGTCTTGTAACAGATGACATACATTTTCTACAGAAAAATAAACAGCATCAGTTATACTCAGGATCTTTAAAAAGATATTGATCACCTAATGTGCATGGGGAAAACGATGGCAGATGAAGTTCAACAAGGCCAAATGCTACGCTGTGCACATTATCCACGGCAATCCAATCAAGTTACCAGATGGGAGATTCAGTGTTAGAAACCTTATCTGATCATACATACTCATTAATTTAATTCTATTCCTAAATATGTATGATCAGAAACCTTATCTGATCATACATACTCAGGAATAGAATTAAATTAATGAATCTTTGAGAACCATATTCAAAAGGTTACATCAAAAGCCAACAAAATTCTTGGCCTGTTAAGAAGAATCATATACCGTAGCTGTTCAAAACTGTAAAGGCCAGAGTATATTAAACTTTTGTAAGACCTCGTCTAGGATACTGCTGTTCTGTCTGGGACTCATACCAAAAGCCATGTATTTAAAGCCAAATTAAAAAGTATCCAAAGGCGCAAGACTCGTTTTAAACAAGAACACCAAAAGAAGAAAATGACCAAAAGAGCATTAATTGTTCAGTCTGATCTGAAAACCCTTCGTCGTTACTCTATCTATTAATCCAGGCTGCTTCACACTATTTCCCACATTTTCACTGAACACGCTTTTCCCCCAATGTTGCAGCATGATATAATTTTGTATGGAGAAACACCTCCGCTTGATTTAGTGAGATTTAATACCATGTGATTAACTATCTGTCAATGTTATTACCATTTTACGTAATGACATTGACAGGGCTACATATAGGACTATATAAATAAAGTGAACCAATGTTTTATATTAAGATTTAAATGTCAAATGTTCGATATTCAGTTTCTTCTTCTCCTTCTCTACAAGATATGTAGTGGGGTGCCTGCTCCTGAGCCGATTAATGCAGCAACACTTTTTAAGCAGTTGGACCATACTTGGGAACAAAAGAATTGTATCTGGAAAGGTGTAATAATATAGATAAACAATTTTTTTTAAATGTTTAATTTAGCTATATATGTAATGATATTAGACCTAAGACAGGCGAAAAACTGTTAATACATATTTAGTCTTTTTGAAATTAAACTATTTAAACTTGCTTAATTTGATAATATCATAAATAACTAATTAGTTATTCTAACATTTTTCAATTGTTAAATTGTTATATTTTTAACAAGTAAATTTTTTAAATGTTATATTCAGCGTTTTTAATGTTAAATGCCTATATATACAGTTCACCCAATTCGAGACCCCTTTAAATCGAGACCATTTAATTTCAAAGCATACCTACTGATCACCTGTCTCTTAGCACCTCTCTAATTATGAAACGCCTCAAATTCAGTTGTGGCGCCGGCAGAGGCAGGAGATTCCCGACCTCCGTCGGACAGGCCTGCAACCCCCGTCGCCCGTCGCCTTCAGTGGTCGTGGAACCAAAAATATTAATTTGCCTTTCCATATAAACGTTATTTTGATTGCCAGTCCCTACCAGGTTTTTTTTCCTAATACCCTGACCTAGGCTCATTAGCTCTATAGTCAGCCACTTGGCTTTCCCCCCACCTTGGACATGTTAGACCCCTGTCGGCAGATTTCTGGAGTCACTGCTGCTTTAATTCGAAACATAACTACCTTTTTTTGAAGTCCCAACCACATTTGGGGAAAAAATAACCATACAAGCTTTAAAATAAAAATGCACCGTTAATTGACGTCAGTGAGTTTGAAAAATTATTATAGAAGTTCATTTTAACTTAATTAACTTAAATTTAACATTGAAAAGAAAATGTTTCCATAGTTTTTAGTTTTAAAGTTTTGAAATCGTGAGATTTTTGGATGGGTCCATCCAATGGAAGAAATGCCATCCCTCAGTTTTTAATCATATTTCTATAGCAGGTTTTTTTTTCATTTAATAAGTTATTATTATTGTTATTGTTATTATTTATGGCCTTTTATTATTACTTGCATTATTATTATTTGCATTTTTTATTTTTGTTTCACGACTTTTTGTTTTAATTACAAATATAATTATTATAATTAACTTATCTTTTCTATCATTTCTTATTTTATAAATAATACACTCTCCTTGTAATTAACCTTTCAGTTTTGATGAACTAATTTAGGCCTTCTTTCACTTTCACTATCGATATTAGCTTAAGTTGATTGAAGGCACAGACATAAAACCTTAATGGCTTATTGTGTCCTCCGCACACAACCTTATTATTATTATTATTATTATTATTATTATTATTACTATAAATAGTATTATTATTACTTTATTATTATTACTATTATTATCATTATTATTATTACTTTTATTATCATTATTATTATTATTATTATTATTATTATTATTTTTACTAGTATTACTATTAATACTACTATCATTATTACTATTATTATTTTTATTATCTTTATTATTATTATTTTTTTAATTTTTAATGCTAATTACTATATCTTCACTTATTATTATTTACTGTAATTTAATAATTTGTCCTTGTTATTTATTTTCCTTTCTGAAGAACTTTATATTGTATTTTTGCGTTGTGTGAAATAAAATAAAATGGAAATGGAAAACAAGCATCCTCTATTCCCCCCCCCCCCCCGAAATGCTGGTCTGCCATTCGCCTTAGGTGGTCGAATGGAAGGTATAGGCCTACGATACGGCCACAAAGCACGTATCGATATGATTCTTACTGTTGTGTCCCGAACCCTTGTTATCATGACCTCAAATAGTTGCTTAAAAAACATAGCCTTGTTTCATGGTGCCTATTGTAGGCTCTACACTTATACTTGAACTTTTATTGTATTTTGGTTTAATACAGTGTTAAAACAGCTTGTATAGTTTTGCCTCATCAGATGGACGTAATTTGGGACCTGCTGTAAAGGACGCATTTTAGTCTAGGTAATGTTTTGTGCAAGATGTCTACACGATTGTTGTATGCATAATGATCTCGATAATGAGATGCAAAAAAAAAACCAATTTCACTTCATTATATTTCATTGGTTACAGTTACCGAAATAATCCTTAGGCTACATTAGGCCCTATCCAGTCATAGAAACCAACATGATCAGAATGAAATTTAAAGGATATAAATGCTTTTATGATAAAACAGGTTTAAATTTGGTTCCAAAAACTTAAATACAACATTAATTATTCATTTGGATCTAGTTGCTAAAAAACACAAATACGAACTTAACTTTTGTAATTATTCCTAATTTAGGCCTACCTTGTTATACGTACATCTTTCAGTGTCGTGAAATTGAATTTGCGTCGTAAGTGTAACTCCTGAACGCAAGCGAGAGTAGTCAAAACATGGTTCTGAGCGTCAGGATTCAGTCTCAATTAATTTTGCCTTTTTCGGCGTCTTCCCGCGCATTGTTCTATTTGAGTACTTCTGTTGTGTCTTACTTTTTTACATTTTATTGCAAGAATTCTTGATAACAAGTAATTATTAATAAAACTGTTTATTGCATAAAAGAGCAATTTATTGTTCAAATTCATTCGATTGAACATATCTTTCTGGTGCAAGCCTAGGCTAGGGCCTAGCCTAGGCCTCTTTGGTTGTTGTTGTGATCGGAGTTGGCAACAAGGACTCGGCGGGAGACCAGGCTTTTAGAGGAAGATTTCTAAGGCTAGGTCCTAGGACAAAGGTAGGCCTTCCTTAGCCCTGGGTGTAGGCCTGCTGTATGCCATGGATTAGGACTGCAACTACTGTGCTAATGAACTTTAATACTTCTATCATTTTATCAATCAAATCAATCAAAAATTTATACTAAAAATAAACTAGCCTAGCCTAGAACTAGGGCCTAGCTAGGCTAGGCCCTCTAAGACTAGGTTCAGGCTGGGTAAGCCTAGGCCGGTATTCGGTAGGCCGTTGGACTAGGCCTACTGTAGACTATTACTGTACTAGCCAAGACAATTTTGTGCCCTAGAGAAGAGTAGGACAGGTTACGTTTTGTTTACCCACAGTAGGCTACACAAATATGAAAATGAATTTAAAGTCTTCTTGCTTATTCCTACATGTCATCAGTACTGTATAATTGACAACCATGCCTGCATTACGGGGGAAGTCAGGAAAAGCTATTCCTGATGACCAGTCTTCAACACAAGGCTCTGAATACCTGCAATCTACGGCAAGTTCACAGTAAGTGTTGAGTTTCAATTTAATGGTATACTCCCTTGGGAAAAAAATGGGAAAATACCTCAACAATTCAATCAAAACCCTTACAGTGTAATATCTCATTTAAAAAGATCAATTATGCTATTAATTTCCAATCAGAAACAATGGGAAACAAATTTTTCTTATTCACAAATATTTTAGAAAAAAGTTTAATAATAGTTTGATATTAAACGTTGATATTAAAAGTTTGTAAATTAATTTCCACCAGCCAATTACAAATACAGTTGGTACAGGAAAAGTTTAATTGTTTTAATTGCAGGAAAACATTTTTTCTCATTTACATTTTCAATTGTAAGTTAATAACTACTTAAATATTAACATAATTTAAATATGAAATTTAATTTTTCTTTTCTTGCCCATGACAAACGGAAATGACATTTCACCCTTTATTTAATTCAAGAAGGCTCTTATATAATAATTTGACTCTAATCGAAGACAGTACCATTAGACCACCCAACTTATGTTGATACCGGAACAGATCCTAGAAGGGTATACTAGTCCAGGTCACCAATGTGGTCTCGAATATTTGAGAGCAAACTACTGTATATTTGGGTTCAAACACACATTTATGCAGAGAGCTTACTGTATCTTGTTTGCATGTAGTTTGAAATACTTTACAACTTTGACTATTTTCTTTATATTTATTTTAATTTTACTTTTATTAATATTATACAATTTTTATTTCACAATCAAAGTGGAGATCATTCAGATGAAAGTGAAAATGAAGATGGATCAAAAGTGAAGAAAAAACCGACAAGAGGCCAGTTCGGGGTAGGTGAAAACTGATAATGATAAGCAATAATATGTCTTGTATTTGACAAAATGTTCAATATATTACTGTAGTAAAAATTATTGCATGTTTTTTGGTGTTTTTTTTGTTACTGTACTTGCGCGAATAAGCGCCTGGGTGCTTAAAATATTTTTTGCACTTTTTGAGGGGCGCTTATTCGAAAAGGGTGCTTATTCAAACGGGGCGCTTATGAAAACAGTGGAAATTGAGGGGGCGCTTATATGAAAATCGAGGGGTTCTTATGAAAACTTATTAAATTCAAGAGGCACATTTTGAATGAAAAGTGATTATATAAGGACATTAGGAAACCACAAATTACGAATGGTTGTGCGGCTGAGAAGATAAGAAAGAAATCGTACAGAGAGCATGGCTTGTCATGACAAGAATGTTGTGAGTATAACAGCAGAATAGCAGATGAAATTAGTGGTGGTGTGGTGGTGATGGTGGCCGTTTGAGATTTGCAGGATGGATCATTGCAGGTTTTCTTGAAAACTCAGATAAGAATGTGTTGAAGGTGCAAATTGTCGGAAAGGGTGTAGGACTAGGCCTAGACAAATGTAAAAAGATGAAAGTTGGAAGTATACTGTCTGTCCAGGGAGCTCTCATCTGTTCAAGAGAAAGATCATCATTTTGATATTGACCTAAGAGAATGTAATTCCACTCCGCAGCTCAACTTATGTCAACATCCAGTCTCAGGATTGTTTGGATTATTGACTTGATAAGAAAAAAATCACGTGATATTATTGAAGGGCGCTCATTCAAACGGGGCGCTTAGGGAAATTTTCACGTTTCACTTATTCCAGAGGGGCTCTTATTCGGTACCTACTAAGAGACAGGTTTACCCACAGTAGGCTACACAAATATGAAAATGAATTTAAAGTCTTCTTGCTTATTCCTACATGTCATCAGTACTGTATAATTGACAACCATGCCTGCATTACGTGGGAAGTCAGGAAAAGCTATTCCTGATGACCAGTCGTCAACACAAGGCTCTGAATACCTGCAATCTACGGCAAGTTCACAGTAAGTGTTGAGTTTCAATTTAATGATATACTTCCTTGGGAAAAAAATTGGAAAGTACCTCAACAATTCAATCAAAACCCTTAATATCTCATTTAAAAAGATCAATTATGCTATTAATTTCCAATCAGAAACAGAATGGGAAACAAATTTTGCTTATTCACAGATATTTTAGAAAAAAGTATAATAATATAAGTTTAATATTAAAAGTTTGTAAATTAATTTCCACCATCCAATTACGAATACAGTTGGTACAGGAAAAGTTTAATTGTTTTAATTGCAGGAAAACATTTTTTCTCATTAACATTTTCAATTGTAAGTTAATAACTACTAAGTTAAATAACATAATTTAAATATGAAATTTAATTTTTCTTTTTTTGCCCATGACAAACGGAAATGACATTTCACCCTTTTATTCAAGAAGGCTCTTATTTAATAATTTGACTCTAATCAAAGACAGTACCATTAGACCACCCAACTTATGTTAATACTGGAACAGATCCCGGAAGGGTATACTTGTCCAGGTCACCAATGTGGTCTCGAATATTTGAGAGCAATCTACTGTCTGTATATTTGGGTTCAAATACACATTTAAGCAGAGAGCTTACTGTATCTTGTTTGCATGTGGTTTGAAATACTTCACAACTTTGACTATTTTCTTTATATTTAATTTTACTTTTATTAATATTATACAATTTTTATTTCACAATGAAAGTGGAGATCATTCAGATGAAAGTGAAAATGAAGATGGATCAAAAATGAAGAAAAAACCAACAAGAGGCCAGTTCGGGGTAGGTGAAAACTGATAATGATAAGCAATAATATGTTTTGTATTTGACAAAATGTTCAATATATTACTGTAGTAAAAATTATTGCATGTTTTTTGGTGTTTTTTTTTTTTTTGTTACTGTGCTTGCGCAAATAAGCGCCAGGGTGCTTAAAATATTTTTTACACTTTTTGAGGGGCGCTTATTCGAAAAGGGCGCTTATTCAAACGGGGCGCTTATGAAAACAGAGTGGAAATTGAGGGGGCGCTTATCGAAATAGATGAAAATCTAGGGGTTCTTATGAGAACTTATTAAATTCAAGAGGCACATTTTGAATGAAAAACGATTATATAAGGACATTAGGAAACCGCAAATTACGAATGGTGGTGCGGCTAAAAAAAAAAATCATACAGAGAGCATAGCTTGTCATGACGAATGTTGTGAGTACAGTATTATAACAGCAGAATAGCAGATGAAATTAGTGGTGGTGGTTAGCTTGTTGACCATTGGCCGATTGAGAATAGCAGGACAGCATGATCATTGCAGGTTTTCTTGAAAACTTAGATGTGAATGTGTTAAAGGCGCAAATTGTCGGAAAAAGAGTAGGACTAGGCTATAGACAAATGTCAGAAGATGAAAATTGAAAATATACTGTCTGTCCAAGATAAATATCCTCATTTTGATATTGACTAAAGGAGAATGTGATTCCACTCCACACCTCAAATCATGCCAACATTCGCAGTCTCAGGATTGATTGAATTATTGAGGGGGCGTTTATTCAAATTAAAATGGGGCGCTTATTCAAACGGGGCGCTTAAGGACAATTTCATGTTAGGAGGGGCGCTTATTCAAACGGGTCGCTTATTCGCACGAGTACGGTACCTGCCCACCCATCTCCTAACTGTTCCAACTTCTAAAAGAGATGGCGATCAATGAACATTCACGTTTGCTGATTCTCTTATTGAAAATAACCTATCTTCTTTTATTAAGTAATCTACTTCTGCAACAACTTTAAAATCCATTGCAGAAGTTCACCTTTTTTCATACATGGCTTTAGTTTTAATCTACACTGCACCTTTGAGTCTTTTTGTCCTTGGTGCAAATATGTTGTTGTTTTTTGAATTGTTATTGTTATTATCATTAATACCCAGCTCCACTCCTGATGTGATGAAAATTTTGATAGTAAGTGTGAGTCTTGGCATATGGTAACAACCAACTGACTGTACACCATTTCCAGTCACACATTACTCTCCATAATGCAGCACCCCCTAGTTCCGTCACCTCTGGATCAATTTGTTGCAATGTAAACTTTAACTGTCTTCAAATAGGTTTTATAATTTATTTAAATATTTCATTAATGTCATGTAGGGAGCAAAACGAGGACGAGGGCGCCGACCAAGAGCAGAAACTGAATCCATTGCGAGCAATGAACCTAGCACTTTGTTTGAGATAGTACGTCAAGGCAAAGGCGGATCCCAGGTGAGAAAAATTTTGAATATCTGTTCTAAAATCAAGCATGCTAATGACTCCATTATCTGGGGTTCACTAAATGGCAAGTTACATGTGCACTGTCTTTCAAGTTGTTAAAATTGAACATTTTGTGTTATATTCTATGTATAAATTAGTGATTGAAATAGAAATATTATTATAGACCATTTTTTTTTACTCTAGACAATTGTAGACGAATGGATTGAAAGTTACAAGACAAATCGTGACACAGCACTCCTTGATTTGATCAACTTCATTATACAAAGCTCAGGGTGTAAGGGAGTCGTAACAACTGACATGTATGCTACCCTGGAACATAGTGATATTATCAGACGCATGACGGAAGAATTTGACGAGGTAAAATGTGTTGTTTCTAATTTAGAATGAATGTTTGTACATGTATTATAAAATGTCTTTTCCCATCATTAAGTTCTTTTTCTTTGTTCTCGGCTCCCATTTGAAAACATATTGTGACCTGTCCTTTCGTGTGAAAATTTGAAACGAGCAACCTTTTGAAACCTGATTCTGTGTCCATTGGCATCTTTAAGTAGAGACTCAAAAATTTTGCTGTTTGCCTCCTTAAAATATCCTCTTTTTTCATTGTTTCACTTCACTAGCTAGTGAAGGTTAGGAGATACCTGATCCCAGAAATGGTCAGGCTTGCGTGCTGCCAGCTTTGTGTATTTATGTTCTTTTATTGTTTATTATTTTTTGTTTGTTTATTCATTTTTTTGTTGTCTACTTTATACATTTTGTCCAGCGCATAGAGACCTCGTTTTTTGCATTATATTATTTAAATCTACTTAATATCCCATGAATATCAGCCTAGTTGGAAGGGTCACCCTCTATTGTTGAAAAAAATAAATACTGTAAAACTATTTATTATTATACTCTTGCAGGAAAGTGGAGACTACCCACTGATAATGACGGGAATTATGTACAAGAAGTTCAAGTCAAATTTCTGCGATTTCATTGTGGTGCTTGTGCGGCAATGCCAGTACAGCATACTGTATGATCAGTATATGATGGACAATATCATATCTCTTCTGACAGGACTTAGCGACTCCCAGGTCCGTGCTTTCCGACACACCAGTACCCTAGCAGGTAATAAATAATTTGGGATTATCTGTTCAACTTCAGAACAGAGCCTTGCATTCATTCACATCATTAGTTCTGGAGAGTGACATTCTGAGATTAGTAATCATAAAATCATATAATAACTAGACTGGTAAGATAATATTGTATGTAATGATAAGTATTGTATCTTCAAAATTTAATGTACCCTTAGGTATAGTATTCTATGTAAACAAATTACAGCAATAAACTTAAAAATACTGACAAAATCAAAACAGGCTAAGAAAATCCAAACGGGTGCAAACAAAATCAGTCTACCATATACAATTATTCACCAGGAAATTTCATATACAAATTACAATGGATTAAACATAGAAAAAATAGTTATATTTTACAATTACTAAATCTATGATCAAGTTCGGAATCTTGGCATTAAGTGTTGTAAACAAGGGACCCATAATTTATATTTATCTTCATTGTATTTTAACAACCATTTCCCTTATTCATGGAAATGTTAAATTTATTAACAAAAAATTGAAATTTATGATATAACTTTATCTTTAGTGTAGGCATATTTTTGGGATTATTCAAATAATGTGACTTGAATTTCACCTTTCTATAGTATTTGACTATTTCACGAACTGACATTATTAACCCTTTTGCAGCTATGAAACTTATGACAGCATTGGTGAATGTCGCCCTGAATCTTAGTGTAAATTTGGACAACACACAGCGTCAGCACGATGCTGAGCGTCAAAAGCAGACTTCAAAACGAGCGAGTGAGAGAATTGAAATGCTGCTCGGAAAACGGCAGGAGATTATCGAGAACATAGAGGAAATACAGCAGATGATGAATAACATCTTCAAAGGAATCTTCGTCCACAGATATAGGTATCAATTTTAATAAACTGAATTCCTGGCTTGCATCTTTCTCTAGGGGCCCTATCTTGGCCTCTGTCTGTAAGCACCCAGTTGCTTGTGGCAGGCAAATGTGTAACATGTTACCTCTGACAGATGGTGACCCCTTAGAGAATTTGCATTCTGTTGTGCCAGATTGTCACAAACTTTAAGCATTTTTTAATCTTTGGAACTTAAAATTAAAAAACACATTATATTAAGGTATAGGAAGTGGCAGATTCAAGGGGCGGTGGTTAAAGTTATATTGTATTGTTCAGCAGCTGTCTCTTATACACATCTAGATGTGTATAAGAGACAGATTCAAATTTTTTTTTTAATGGAGATTTAAAGAAAGTTATATTCAAATTTTAAGTCTGAGAGTGCAATTTCCGGTCATCTAGATGTGCCATAATCACAAATTTTCTTACCTCAGCCCCAACCATGGTGGGCTGAGGTGGTATAGATCCTCCATCTGTGGAAGTACCTCCCAGGGCCCCCCTCTTTTGAATTCCTGGATCAGCCAATGATAAGGAAGAGTAAACATAAGCAAAGTATATAGAAGAGTTGACAGATTTCTGGTTTGCATGCATGCAATGAAATGAAAAACATGTACCACCATGATTTAGCGGGCCCCCTACATGAAGGTTAGGAATTCTTTACATTCTTTACATTTACAGCACACATTTGGTACAAATGGCTTTAACATGCATATCATCATCAGTCAGTGTCGTAATAAACCCTGTGTATTTTCAATAGATGCCCTCTAAGTCATGTTAGTACTTTTTCAAGAGAATAGAATAGCATTTTAAAAAAATCCGAGAGTCTGATCCCTTTCCATTTTAAATTCTTTTCACTGCGCTGTGCCATTGAGTTTTAGTGTCTTTTCCCAATTACTTTAAACTGAAAGGTTTATTTTAATTGGTTTAAAATACTTTTCTATCCACTTAGGGTTACAAAGCCAGAGATAGGATTTTAATTGGTTTGAAATACTTTTTCCATCTACTTAGGGATACACAGCCAGAGATCAGAGCGATCTGCATGGGAGAAATTGGTGTTTGGATGAAAAACTACAGCGAGATGTTCTTGAGTGACAGCTACCTGAAATATGTTGGCTGGACCCTCCATGATAAGGTGAGATTAATTCATAGACTATGTAGGTCTTATATTTAGGGTATGATTAACCATGCATGACAAAATGGACGATTATTATTTTATTTCATATGCTCTGAAAGGTCTAAAAATGTACAAAAAGTTCATTCTTGAGCACTGCTTATATGAATAATGTGTATTTTGTATGTGTTATTACGATGACTTTGTCTTTTATTTCAAAGGTTGGGGATGTTAGATTAAAGTGTTTAGTGGGACTCCAGAATCTGTACCTTGTAAATGACTTGGCATTAAAGCTGGAACTCTTCACCAATCGATTCAAAGATAGGATTGTTGCCATGACGCTGGATAAGGAAACTGATGTGGCAGTGCAAGCCATCAAAGTTGTCACTCTCATTCTAAAGTAAGTATCATAAGTAAATCACATTTTCAGTCGTACGACAAATCTGACATTATTTGTCACCAATAAGACATGTTACTTAACACAAGACACATTGCTATAACCTTTTAAATGCAGTACAGAATAGAGAATTGTCTCCCTGGAGTACTGCTCAATCACAACCAGAAGGACCCCACTGGAAAGAAGTCTTTGGACTTCCATTATCCTTGGTCTTCACACCAAATAAATCTAATCCAATGTATTATCTTCTGTGTAGGTTTAATGAAGACATATTATCTGCTGAAGATTGTGAAAATGTTTACCAGCTGGTATACTCAGCAAGCAGAGCAGTAGCCCAGGCAGCCGGTGAGTTTCTCAACGAAAGGCTCTTCAAAAGAGATGACACAGATTCGGCGAAGTCCAAGCGAGCAGCAAGCAAAAGGCGTAGTGCGAATGCCCCCCTTATTAAGGATCTTGTCCAGTTCTTCATCGAAAGTGAGGTAATTTGAGATTGTGTGAAAGTAGTAATAGTTGATTAGAATTGTAACTCATGAATCATGGAAATCTTACTTTCAATCAGTGACTTGCATGAATTGCCACTTACAGGAGACAGTGAACAGAATGGATTATAAAATTCCCACTCATAGTATAGTCTGAATAGTATGTATAATAGAATTCCCTGTTAAGGCCTGCTTACACTATGACGATAACAATCAACAATAAAAATCTGAAAAGCAATTGTTCATATAGAAAATAAAAGAAATCTTTTTACTACTACAATGTTTTCATTTTCCCATGATTATGGCCTCATTTGATTTGATTTGTGAAAATATTTTTTTATCGTATACACGATAAATCGTTATCGAATCATGCTAGTGTATAAACTTCTCTTATTCCTTTTATTTTCTATATGAAAAATTGCTTTTTAGCTTTTTATCCTTGATCATAATTGTCATAGTGTGAACAGGCCTTTAGGGTAGAGTAACCACCAAAGATTTTGTAGTTTCCAATACTAGGATATAGTGGCTATCATTGATCATTGAAGTCTGTATGTAGATTCATTTCCCATCTACCTTCCCATGGAGTTGATACATATTTTTTTTATTCCCTTATCAGCTCCATGAACATGCTGCATACCTAGTAGATGCCCTCTGGGAAGTTAATGACATGGGAAAGGATTGGGATTGCATGACAGAACTGCTCCTTGAGGAACCCGGAAGAGGAGAAGAGCGTAAGTGGACTTGTTTATTCATGTTTATTTCACTTCAAGTTTAATGTCAGGCTTTGTGTAAAAAATTGATTGGATAAAAAACAATAGATGAATACTATTGTCTCAATTTCAGCTCTTGATGATCGGCAAGAAACTGCTCTGATTGAAATCATGGTGTGTGCCGTGCGACAAGCAGCCCAGGGGCACCCGCCTGTTGGGCGAGGCTCATCCAAGAAGATCCTTACAGCTAAGGAGAAGAAGTCGGTACAGGATGATAAGATGAAACTGTCAGAACACTTCATAGTCAAGTTGCCAGATCTGCTTTCAAAGGTAAGACAAGTTGGACAAGTCAGGCCCGTAACCAATGGCGATCGGGGAACCGGAAAATCGTCACCTACTGAACTAGAAATTCTGCTTAAATATGACTTGATAAACCTGTAAAGTGGTGCAATATAGAATTTGTTTACATGATCTTGGTAATAGAGTTCGAGCAAAGTTTTTTTTTTTTTACTATGTAAGAACTACTTTGTACTTCAGGCATAGTTTCTTGTTTATTTAGGTGTGTAATCATGGAATGTTCAGGTCAAATTTACCGACAATCGTGTTAATTCATTTTAAGAGGCAGAAATTACCATAATTTCCATATTTCTCGTACCATATTTTATTTTCATGCTGTTAATGCCCTTCTTAAAGTTATATTGTATTGTTCAGCAGCTAGAGAGTGCCACAGCAATATTTGAGACAATCAACGAATATACAAATCATTATATTTATTAATTTTTCTTTAGTTTATTTAACAACTTTGGTGTTTTAATTTGCAGTATGGAATGGACTCTGATAAAGTAGCCAACCTATTGGAGATCCCGCAACACTTTGATGTTGAGATCTTCACCACCAGTCGGCTGGAGAAGCACCTTGACTCACTTTTACGACAAATGAGAGACATAGTGGAGAAGCACACAGAATCTGAGGTATGTGGTTCAGTATCAGGGCAATCTGAGCAGTCACTCTGAGAGACTAACCATTTAACTGCTAGGTAAAGTAATAGTAGCAATGAATGTAAAAAAAACGAAATATATTATTAAATAAATATATATTTAATAAATGAATGAAGTAATACATTAAAACGTCCATTTTACAAACTTTCCATTTTACAAATAGTCGATTTTGCGAATGGTCTTCGCTCCTGATGACGTCATCACCAATCAATTAATTACCGTAAAAAAAGTCTGATTGCTCACGTTTTACAAAGTGATAATGTAAATTGTTCTTGATAAATTCAAGTTTGTTGTATTTATTTATTAATAGTGCGATCTTTTCTTCCATTTCTGGTATAATAATCACTATATTAATGTAATAAACCTAACCAGAACAACGAACTACCAAGCATGTGTCGTTATCGGATTGAGTGCACATGTTTACGATGACAAATGAGAGTATTGGGGTCACCAACTTGTTCACATTGTGAATGCTAGATATGGTCGCGAAATGCACGTAAACAATACAATGTGACGATCTAACAACTAGAAAGAACACGATAGAAAGGTCCATAAGACATAGATGTTTGAATAAGAGTTAAAATAACATTTTGTTAAGTGGAATAATGCCAGCGATTAAAATAATTTGGTTTTTTTCGAAGGTAAATTCAGCTAGGCTCTATGCACGGTAGACCACGCTGCTGCACTGTCGGTGCGTGCTAGGCCTGGCCTATAGGCGCTCAATGGCAGGCGATTTCTAGGCCTTGGTATTGGAAACTGACAACCGATCTAGTTTACAAATTTTTCAATTTATGAACACCCCTTGGTACCAAGGGATACATAAAATGGACGTTTTACTGTATATAGTAAAGACTGGGTCAGGAAACAGTGATTTGTGTTTTTTTCTCTTGACTTTTATTTTATATTATAAATTTGTTTTCAAGGTTCTTGAAGCATGTGCAAAGACATATGAAAGCCTCCTTTGCGAGCAATACAACACCACACCCAAGGTAGAGGTTGCCAGGACAACACTCTTTGACAGTCTTGCAGAAAGGCTTGCCCGAAGTTTTGAGAGTTTTGATGCAGTAAGTTGATCAGAATTATGTCAAGTAATTATTATTTTCATTCATTTAGTTGTTGCTGCTGTTGTTTGCTGTTACTGTTGAACATCATTAATGTCAACTTTTTTTATTATTTTTCATTAGACGGACGAGCCACATGATAATGTGATCTACGCCTTGTCATCTAGTCTCAAAAGGATTACAACTTTCTACAGGTGAACATTATAGTTTATTTTTTATTGATTAAATAGAGTTTAGTAGTATTAATCTGAGTATATTGAGTACAGTGAAACATCCATGTTACATACTGTTTGGAGTAAGGTGGTTTTTATGACTTGAAAAATTGGTAAAATACAGCAGATCATCTGGGGTCCCAAGTCTCCCGGGAAATCAGGATGGCCTCTTGCAATCTTGCAAGCAAGAAAGAATCTCATGGAGACTAACCCATCTCCAGCATATTCATTTTATCTGCATGTTTTTATTACTTTATTACCCCCTTCCTGATCAATTGTCTCACAAGAGTAAGTGTTAATGCATATTTTCACCATGTAAGAAAATTAACCAGATCTTCCGGATGTGACTCCTTCCAACTTGGACCCCTGGACCATACAGTAAAAACTGTAATCCATGTCATATGAGGATACTTTAGGCCTAATTTAGATTTCCTAGACTATGCCAACAGTTAACAGGTTGTAGAACTAGGTTGTATCTATCTGTTTTATTTACCTGTTCAATATTCAAAAATATTCTAATTAAAAATAGGCAAGATTATATACACAAAACGTGCTAGACCATTGTCATCATGGTTGAAATCTACAGAGAGATCATATGCATTTCGATGATTTGACAATTCCTAAAACGTCAAGTCATGAAAATACCATGTAAAAAAAAATTCTTTTGTTTTTAGCTGTCATGACCTTACAGGCTGGAACCTTTACGAGATGATCTACGTACTCATCAAGCAAGCTCCAAAGCGTGGCGACATTCCAGAGGATATTTATGCCTCTGCAATTGCCTGCGCTCATTACGCAATCATGTGGTACGTTAACAAGCTAGAAGACAAGAACCCAGACCCGGTAAGACCTTTATTACTTAAGCTGTAAATGCTATAAGGTGCACTTTTTACACTAAACTATTTTATGATCCTAGCATTACAAATGCAAAACACTCCAGCTTTGGTAATTGTTTGTCCAAATACCTCTGCATTGTTTGCCTCCTTTCACTTCAAGGACATTTTTTTACCTTTCAATTTTTTACCAATCAATTTATCGTAAAATTCACACAAATAATCAACTAAAATGTTTTTCAAAGGTTTATGTAATAAATATCTATGGTTTGCCCATACTGTATATAGGCATGACTATGTAAAATCAGGTAAATCTCAGGTATTTCTTTTAAAAAACTTCATACCATGGAGAAACCTTTTTATTGTAACTTTATTGTTCGTTGATTTGCAGGATGAAATAAATAAATTAAAAAAACGGGTCAATGATCTGATTCACCTCTGCGCCATCCTTCTTATTGATCGTAACGAGACAGTGAAGCAGGAAGCCTTCACCACAATTGGGGACCTCCTGGTAGTCTTCAGCAAGCAGTTGGGCTCCGATAAGGCCTATAGCTCATTGGTCTACATAGCCAATGATAACTTACAAAATCTGATATCAGATTTTATCCAGGAAGAAGTATTTGTTGAAGAAGATGATGATGGTGAGTTGATATAAAAGCAAGTGTGTCTGTCTTTCCTTACAGAAATGTCAATAAGTTAATTGATTGTTCAAAATAGTGTTTATTTACTTAGCCAGGCGTTCTCCTTTGATTGTATACTTTGAAATTTAAGTGATCCTTCATAAACCTTAGCTGGTCCTAACATCACAGTGTAGTTCGCGGGTTGAAGACCATCATGCATTCCATAGATGTGCAGGGGCCTAGACCTAACATTTGTCAAAAATTCTTAATGTTTGCAGCCAGTATCCTTTACAGCATTAGCAAACCATTAAGGCAAAATCCTTAAGTTTAATTTCCAATCAATTTGGTATAGTTTACTGGGAATTATGATGACTTTACATTGGACGGCCGCGATAGCAATCTCCATGTAAAACACGGCTGTGTCAGTAGGTTGTTTATATCCAACACCCAAGTTAGCTCATGTGATGCCCATCGCTAAATCCCTCTAATTAACAGTAAAACTAGGAAAGGATAATGAAGAGGATAAAAGAAATCAAAACAAGTGAGAATGAAATATTACAGTACTGTATACTAATAGTATTTCAATCACACTTGATTTGTAGCTACTGTAGGTAGTGAAGATAGAATTTTGTTTTTATTTTGACGAAAGAGAGCACCACTCCCTGAAGCTCAATACACATTATGTGACAAATACCTGTGGTTTGCCCATGTATGACATGACATCATCATGCCAATTTATTGATGAGATGACATCATCATTCCCATTTATGTGTGTAATATGTCATTATCATGTCCATATGTAGATGTGACATGACATCACCATGCCCATATATGGATGTGATGTGACTTCATCATTCCCATATTAATGTGATATCACATTATCATGCCCATATATGGATGTGATATGACATCATGTCCATATATAAATAATTTACACAAATTTGTCTCATAAAACTGAAAGTGTAAATAGAGCTTTAGTTTATATAGAATCACATAATCCTACCTATTGAGTGTAAATAGTATTTTAATACAATACTGTAATACTTGTGATTGATTAAAATCTAGATGACGACGATGATGGTGACGATTCCCATAAAATTGAAGTTCTTCACAAACGCCGTAATCTTCTTGCGTCATTCTGCAAACTCATCGTGTTCAACATTATTGACATGCGCAATGCTGCTGGTATATTTAAACACTACATGAAGGTAAGCAGCAATTAGAACGAGTAGTGGCTTGGTGGTGAGGAAAACCTTTTCTTTTATTCTGGAGCATTCAGATCTTTCAGTTAACACAAAAATAGTAATTTACGGTATAACTGAAAATATGATCATAATTTAAAATTTTATATATTGCAGTATTATAATGATTATGGTGATATCATCAAGCTGACATTAGCCAAGTCAAGAGAAATCAACAAGATCAGCTGTGCCAGGACATTAGGACTCAGTCTGAGCCAGGTATCAATGACAATACAGTACAGTATATGATCCATGAGCCCCTCTTCAATAAGTATAACTATTGTAAAAATAGAAAAATATTCTAACAAATTTAGATTTTAATAAACATTCAGATTCAGATTTCTTTTATTTTCCACAAATAACATAAAAATATAAAGTATATGTGGAGGAGGCTATAATAAAATCATGTGCTGCGCAGAGCACAGATCTTTAGGGTAATAGCCCCCTTAACAAAATGCATAATAATAATAATAATAATTATAATAAAAATAATAATAAAAATAATAATAATAATAACATTGTTGAGTCAGTTTGGCGTATCGAGTCTGGTTTGCCTTTTCTGGGTTGGAGTTTCAATCCCTCTCTGTGCATTTCACTCGTGTTCTTGAGCTAAGCACTTGCACATACTATATGCATTGCTTTTCTTCACCCAGGAGTATGAATGGGTGCCTAGTGGGATTGCCCGCTACTGGCTGATTATACACATCAGCAAGGGGTTGTATGAGAAAAGAAAGGAGCTGTGTTAGAAAACAAATAAATTTTAAATTTAAATTTGAGAAAAATAAATAATTTAATTAATGTTATATTTTTGTCTCCTCTATTAATTCTTGTATTACAATTGGGTAGGATAAAGAAAGTATATCAGTTTGAAATAAGGACAAATAATAATTATTTTTTTTATTTTAACAGTTATTTAATGAAATGAAGAGTGAGATAGGATATGCTGATGAAAGCCGCTCTATTGCGCAAATGAATGCTATTAAAGAGCTTGCACGTAGATTCTCGCTCACCTTTGGACTTGACCAGATCAAAACCAGAGATGCCGTGGCAGCTCTTCACAGGTAGGTAGCCTCCCTTGTATTTTTGTTTAAATCCTCACCACAGAGCAAAAGTCAGTGATTAAATTTGCTATTACCAATCTGTGGCCCATTTGCCTGAGAACAAATACATTTTAGAAAAAAAAAATATTTTGCATATGTACTTTTTTTAGTCTTCTCCATGGATTGTACAAGGGGAATTCTTGATGCCCTGATTCTTTCCATATTTAATGTGTATTTGGTTTGTTGATTTTGCTGTGCAGTCTTAGTTTTAATCAAAGAACTGCACCATTAATAAAGAATTGCTCTCAGCTTTTTTCACCCCTTAAATTCAAATGGACTATGTCGCAAAATGACCTATAAATATATTAAATTTACCTAACAATTAACTAAGATATACAGTAGATGTTCATAATGAATATTTCTTATTCGTACCGCTGTTAAATGGAACATTCCATTCTATGAAAGTAGCCTTCCCATTGCACACACAAGTATTCATTGTTTGTGTTTTGTATTTATTGTTTACCAACAGGGATAACTAATTATACACTGTGCAATGAAATATCTTATATCTCTTTTTTATGTAGAGAAGGTATTGTGTTCAGCTTAACACCAATAGAAGACCGTCAAAACCCAGGAGGGCCACCACCAAACATTGGTTATCTTGATATACTTAGTGAATTCACCGCAAAACTTATGAAGCAAGATAAAAAGACTGTGTAAGTATTTATTTTTCATTTTCAAGTACTGTATATTTAGATTTTGAGGAATCATGAAACAAATTTTATTAATAATTATTTTTATATATTTATTATTTTATTTCAGTGATAATAAATTTCAAAGTTATATACTTTTATTTTTTCACACTATTATTGTGCTAACAGTAATTATGTGTACAAATGTGTATTTTTGTGGTTTATTTCAAGTCCAAACGGTCACTTCTACCACTGAGTGGAATAATAATTAATGATTTTAAAAATTTAATGTTCGTTTAGCCTGGCATATCTGGACAAGCAACTCAAATCAGAAATGTTGGAACAAACCGGGGATGAATGGTCTGCATTAAGAGCCTACCGCAACAGCCTGATGCAAGGCGGTGACACCAGCTCTGACGTCAGTCGTCCACCCCGTCCTCCTAAGCGCCCTAAGCCAGGCATCAAAAGGAAGATGGCCCTGTCTGGAGGTAAACTTTTCATTTTATTATCTGCTGATTCAAGCAATATATTTTGTCATTCAGAAAATCTGATGCTCTATCATCAGGTGTTTTTATTAAACTTGAGGAGGGAAGAACTGATCATTAGACTTTTAGGTATATAAAACATTGGAGATGGTGGAGCTGGGGGTGGAGTTAAGGTGTAATGTTAAGGTCTGGAGTATTACAGTAGATATTAGAGAAATTCTGACGTTTTGTCAAGAATAAACGTATTTCCAAAATATAAAATTAAGCATTGTTCACAGTTTCTTTTTCTGTTGAGATTTAGAGCCAACATATTTGAAGACTTTTCACATGTTTTATATTTATTAACTACTTTATTCAAAATCTTACACAAATAATAAATTTTCTTTTATAGAAATGTTTATTGCATTAAAAAAAAATTAAATATATATATGTTGTATTTAGACACCTTTTATCTTTAACTATTTTATCATTCAATAATTTTTTTTCAACATGATTTTCATAGATTTATTAATGCATATATTGACAAACAATACTGTTTTTGTACTCCTAAGCTGATGATGTAGAGGGTCGCTGGGTTTCCCGAGAGGAACAGGCTCAAGGAGCGCGTGGTGGATGGAAACGTCGACGCACAGATGAGGAACTTACCAGTCAAGGGTCAGTAACAATACTATTCTAATTTCTTTTATGAAAAATCTTTAAACAACAATTTCATCTACTGCTATGATTGGTTGTATTGGTCGTACTGTAGCTAATGTTTTTTGTTTTTTTTTTATCTATTCATATTTGTAGATTCTAGCACAATTTGAGATGAAAGTTTTTTTTTTATATATTTACCATCCAGCAGTAAATGTCAAGTTTACCACTTGCAGGAGAGCATACATTAAAACGTACAGAGCAAAATAGTTAACTTACCAATACTAAGCAAAAATATTATTAACAATGCTTAAGAGTATTCTAATACAGTATTCCTCTGTCTTATGAAATCCATAATTCTTCAAGACCAATGCTTGCTTGATCAATTAAACCCAATAAAAAAATACATTTTTTTTTTACCCAATAAAAAAATACATTTTTTTCTTTTAAATCATGCAAATATACATTTTAAATGGAAGTATATTCTTGTTCCCAAACAATTTTTCAACCTAATCCACTGTAGATGGCTCACTTAACCAAATATTGTATACTGTACTGGTTGTTTTATAAGCAACATTAGTCGATACTTAAATTAATACTCTTGGTGTTGTGACAATAGGACAACTGGAAGCATGAGCGAAGGAGCATCATCACAACTATCATGGATTAGCACCAAGCTTAGAAGGATGAGAGTGAAGGCTAGGCTTAGCTATAGTGCTAGAAAAGGCAGCTTAGGGTACAAGCACTGTTTCACATTAATAATGTTTTGAGTTATTGTGTCATTAACTTCAATATTTTGAGTTGCTTTTTCATTAAGTTAGTGCTTTGTGCAGGGCCCCCAAGTCTTCCGCAAGCAAGAATCACCCAGAAAATATCCCATCTTCTGCAAATTAATAATATTTTCATGTTTTTACTACTTTGTTATCAACTTACTCACGATGGACAGCAAAATAATGTTAGATGTGTTAAGAAAGCCTATTTACAGGATCTACCAGAAGTTACTTATTCCAACATGGGACCTTTGTTTGTTGGAAAACATGAAACTCAGCGTAGAGTACAAGGACTACATTGTTCTTACTAACTGAATTTTAAGATATTGTTTCATTAATTTATTCTGATTATTTATAGTCTGGTTTCTCATGTAAATTTGTTCACATCTATAAAAAATTAGTACATTGTTGAAAACATAATACACTGATCTTTTATACTAATGTTGCCAATTTGATTTTTAAATGGGCACCATAAAAAAGTATTTTTGTTTGTAAATGCTTGCGAGACGAATATACACATTTCCATCTTGGTTTTTTTTTTTTTCAACTTCAGCACTATTTAGTATTTTTATTTTATTGCCATATCCTATTAATTTATTAGTTTAATTTGAATTCTTTACTAACAGAGAAAACTAATCAAGGACTTTAATTCTTTTATTTTGATATACTGTATCTTTTTTTTTATTTTTTAAAATTGAGAGTAGAATGTTTCCTTAACCATTTTATAACATCCCATATTTCTAAATTGTGTTTCACTGACTACAGTGTGTCCACTGGTTTTTTTTTATTTCTTTGCCCTTAATTTATTTTAATATTATTTATCAGCATTAAATTTGTTGGTGTTGATGATTTTCGATTGATTGATATTTTCTCAGAAGGCAACAGCAACAGCAGGAAGAGGAGAGTGAAGATGAAAGTAATGATGAAGAAGACGACTTCCAAGAAGGACAGGCCATCCAAGTATTGGTGAGTGTCAGGGTTGTAGCTGTAGAAAACTATTTGCTGGGTGGGTGATAAAACATTGGTGAACTCTAAATAATAAGAGTGATATTTAAGTATGACTGGGCAAGGGGGTTAATAAATGTAGGTGGAACTCCATGAAATTAGCATCAGACTGGGTGGAAAACTTCAAGGTTGGATAACTCTACATCCTTGATTGGTTTCATATTTAATATAAATTATACTACAATGATGTACCGCCAAATATATCTACAGTAATACATAATACTGTAAAACTACCGACAAACATTTTACCAAATGATGATGTTTTGATTAATGTATTTGTATTAATAGGGCTTGAATGCAGGAGTGAAACAGGAGTTTGAAAATAGCAGAGAAGGGAATAATTGTTTCAGAACTACAGTATTTAATAATCATCAGCAATTATGGTTTTCAAAAACTTGAATCCACCAATGATATTTATTATTATATTGCTATATATATCTGATTGATTTGTTGAGCTATGTTCTTAAATCATTTCAACAGCCTACAGCTAGAAGTACTCCAAAATCTCCTGTTCTTCTGACAAGCAGACATTTAATATCCAAAAAAACAAGACAGAGTAGAACAAATCTTAGTCAGATAGAACCAGTTCAGTCCGGTCATGCCCGGTTGAAAGCACCATCGGCTAGACAGAACCAAGTCAGGTCAGATAGATTGAAGAAATACAGAATAGATGAAACCAGTCCTGCTAGTGTATCACCAAGCACAGATTCAGAATTCCAACCTTCTGAAAAGCGTATTAGAGTTTCTGTCACAAAGCCACGTAGGGCAAATCTTAGAAGGAGCAGGAAAACCATTCTCCATGATATCTTCCCAGAGGAAATACCAGATATTGATCAGGATTCTGACAGCTTTTAGTCAGGTAGCTTAGGATTAGATGTGTATGAATTCAGAAATAGTTGTAGATTTATACATTACACATTATGATCCAAGAATTTAGATTGCGTTTGAGTCATGTTGAGTCCAGGATTTTTTTTTAATGATTTCCGTAATATTATTTTATATGCTGTATAACCATAGGCCATACAAATTTTTTCCCCTCCACTATGCTCACAATATTTAACATTGATAGTTAATATATATTTTAAAGTAATGTTAATAATAATAATGATATGGCATCTTATTTAGGGCTTTTTCCATTAGAAATGCTTGCAGCACCCAATACCAACTGACAGATGCAAAGAATTTAAAAAAAAGACAATATGTACAAGAACAACATTATAAAAACAAAAACAAACATAAAAAATGGTTGTTTTATTCTGCTTATCTACATTCAGATGGAAGATTGAACTCATAAATATTAATGAGTTCATAAATATGTTTACAACTTTTTTGTTAAAGTTCTCAAATTATATTCGATATTTGGGTAATGATATATAAAGAAAAGCTTTAACTTTGGAACCCTGTTACAACAGCTAATGTAGTAACAACCGTTAATGTAGCACACTTCACAGCTTATGTAGTAAAATTCCCCGCTAATGTAGAAACACCAACAGCTTATGTAGTAAAAAGAAAATCAAACCCAGCTAATGTAGAACGCTCAACAGCTAATGTAGTAACGAAAATTGCCTTACAGCTAATGTAACTATCGCCAGCTAATGTAGAATATACAGTAGTATAACATCTTACATCAAAGGGGAACATATAATCAAGGTTACCAGCTTTAAACTATTACGTCTTGAAATTATATCAACAGTACTGACACACGACACTGTTTTGACTTCAGTTTGATGCCTGTTTGTTGTTGCTGAATATGGTTCTATAAATAAATTATGAAATAAATTACCTCCGACGGGAATCGAACCTGTGACCTCTTGCTGTCAAGGTGAACGCCATAACCACTAAACCACCACCATTTTACATTGTATGTGTTTTATATGGTTATATATTTTATATTTTGCTCTGATGAAGGGCTATTACTAAGGGGAGGCATTTCTCTCTGGCTGTTTACTTTACATATAATAAGTTATATAAGACAGACCGACAGACCAACCAACTGGTGGAATGACTGACCGACCGACCAACCGACCGACATTATTAATAAACTGCCTGCTAAACCGATAAGTTTTATAATGCAGGGAAACTCACTGCATAATACGACGAATCTAACTTTACTCTCTGTGAGCGATAGATGACGCCACACCATGCTGCCAGCTGATGGTTGGTGGCAGTCTGAACGGATCGTTCTCTATAGAATCGCGTCGGCGATTCTGTGGAGTGCCCGGCTTAACTGAAATTGGGAAAACAGATTTGAAGGTAAACGGGGACCTACCGACCGACCGCAACGAACCTACGCCATTGTCGATCTTATTAACAATGCCATACCATTATTAAGCCTTATTGATTAGTGGTTACCGAGATGAGTACCCGATAATATAGGCACAGGTGGCCATTTTTTGAAGTGCCCTCACAGGTTTACATGCCATTATGAAATGTGCATAATTTTGGTTCCCTCATATTTTTCAGCTCATGGAATTGTAATATTGTAATACGCTACATTAGCTGGCGATAGTAGTTACATTAGCTGTGAGGCAATTTTCGTTTCTACATTATCTGTTGAGCGTTCTACTTTAGCTGGGGTTGATTTTCTTTTTACTACATAAGCTGTTGGTGTTTCTACATTAGCGGGGAGATTTACTACATAAGCTGTGTAGTGTGGTATATTACAGTTGTTACTACATTACCTGTTGTAACAAACCCTTTAAACCTTAGACTTATTCTTGACAGTCGCAATCAAATAAAAAATAATAGTAACATTTGGGCTACCTGTGTTTTGAGTTTATCTTTATGAAGATTTCTAAAATAATAACATTAATATTTATACGGTAATACTGTTACTGTATTATAATCTTAATTTTTACATTTCTGCTATTTCAGGAGGATATGCAAATGGGTTTCTGAACAAGTCATCCATTGGATTAATCTTCTCCAAAATTCACCTTCACCTACAAGTCATTTTAACTTTCATTCACCAGTGTTATATGGACAGAGAGAGGTGCACAAAACCGAGTACAGCATACATTTAGAAGTTAAAAGAGAAGTCGTTGAAATATTTTACGCCGTCTTAAGGTCATTGGTTGATTTTTCGAGTTGCAGAAAGCTGGACACTCACTTCGTCCGACAGTCGTTGGCCGCCGCGATTCTATACAGAATGCAAGGCGAGGACGGATTTGCCGCGTCGTCTAGCACTCATAGGGAGGGGAGTTAGATGGTCGTACTCCCGGCTTAAGAGATATGAAGACATGTGGTTTATTAACCGTGTTAATTGTTAGTGTTTTTTTAGAGGTAAAAGTGGGTAAATTAAGTTGAATGTTTAATCATCGTTGTTATTATTATTGTCATCATCATTTTACTCCTGTCGATATTCATGTCATCCTAAACTAAACCTTATGTAAATCCAGTTTTGTTTCACTATAATTTTATTAGTATTTTGAGCATGGTCATTGTATTCTATATTTTTTATTCCCATAAATTGTGCTAGTGTCTGTCCACATTTCATCCAGGGGGAATATTCGGTACCTTTTTCCAAAGATACTATTAACCTGCTAACCTTACAGCTTTTAGTTATATCAAAAACTGTGAAGGTTTGATCTGTTTGTTAATTGTAGTACAATTTTCCTTTATTGTAATGTATATAGAATCCATGTGTTGATATTTGACCTGTAAATAGTTTTGTTTCAAGATTTTTCTTGCAAGTTGTCTCCTAATCATTGTAATCGCAATGAATGTCACAGTTTTAAACAAATATTCTACTGCCTTTTAAGGATCAGTACTCCAGCTTCATTGTTGTACTTTTGGCAAACCTACATATATCAGATGTGTATTGGACAAGTATACATCTATACATTGTAGCTCGCCATCCTCTGATTGTGTACACACTCACGGAAGAACATTTTCTCCAACAAGGTTTTGTAAACTGAATACAACAAGCAGTTAGCCAAACATTTTCCATCATATTCCATGTTACGTCTTGGGAGTCTGTTACCTTGTTACTTGCACACAACTTGTGTGGTTGACACTTAATTGATGTTGCAAGAAATGTTTTATTAAATCACTGCACGAATCTTTTTCATTACTGGTTGTAAATTTTTCTTCACAATTCATACTTTTGTAACAATATTTGAAAGTGTTCCTCAATGTTATCAAGAAACATGAAAAGTTAAACAGAAAAATAAAAATAGTAAAAATAACTGTTTGGATATATTTTCTTTGTTGTGAATACATTCTTTGTATACTGTGTATTTAGTAGATATTCTATTTTTGTGCTACTGTACTTCTATCAATAAGGGTTGCCACCATATTACTTTTTGGAAAAATGTTTTACTTGCTGACTAAAGGAAAGGCCTATATGAAAAATTTAATATTGACCTGCCATCTTGAATTTCAACATAGCCACCATTTTTATTACCCTTTAGGAAAACATTTAAATTCATAAGCTTTCAAAATCACCTCTGCTAATTTTTCAAAGCATGCAGCAATCAGCTTGCAAAATAATAATAATAATATGTCGTTCTTATATAGCGCTTAATGCCTTAACAAAGCCTCTAAGCGCTTCACATTACCACCCCGGTCATTGGATCAAACACATATGGAACACCAAATTAAATTATTAAATTATTATTCCATAATATTGCGGCTAGTAATCAGCGCAGTTGTGTTGGAACCTACCAGGTACCTAATTGTACTCCTGGGTGGAGAGAGGCAACCGTAGATAAAGTGCATTGCCCAAAGACACAAGCGATTTGCACAGCGAGAGTTTCGAACCCCCGACCTCGAGGTTGGGAGTCCAAGCCACAACCAATGCGCCAACCGCTTCTACAATAAGGTGATGCAAGGTGCTTTGAACATTTTCTGTGGGGGCACAACCTAGATACGCCACTGGTATTTCCTAGATTTACCACTAGAGATACTACTAGTTGGTCTATGGTAAGGGCCCCTGTCCTGATTGACCATCAAGCCAGTCTCCCCCAACAATCACTGTAAATAAGAAAATAACTTAACAACAAAGCTTGTTAGCACAGTACCATGGCAGAAAACTTTAGCACTAAGAGCATAAAATCATTTTGTGGGGATGGGGAGAGTGAAAAAAGACCAATGTTGATTCTTCATTGCTTTATCCACATTTCAGATATTTTTATTACCAAAAATACAAACTTTGTTTTAGTCTGTAATGCTAAAATTAATATATTAAAATCCAGAAACCGAAAGGTCCACTGATTAATTTCAGATAAAGTATAATATATACTCCAAGTATTGAAATACACGCCATCGTTAACATCCATGTGTCTGTAATAATACAGTACACATCAAAATCTTCATGTTCTTTAAAATACCACTCGAGTAAGTCCTGCTAGATCTTGCAAACAAAATGTGTAATATATAACTGAGACAACCAACATTACACTATCCTGTTAGGTGCATCTGTCATGGGTGGATTTAGGGGGGGGGTCTTATACACATCTAGATGTGTATAAGAGCCCCCCCTTATACTGTATCATTGAATGGATACACAATTCCATTGAAAGGTTGATCCATATCGCACAATGCATAGCTACAAAGATAGATGCACCAGCATGGAAACCTTTGTGCAATCAATCACTCTCTATCGAGGTCAGCAGGTATGACCACAGTACACTGATATGTGTGCATATCTCCATTGACGACACCCCTTTAGTAGACTTTACTCTTTTAATAAAGTACAGTTTTTGTGTAGACAACATTTGACACTCTTGACATGCAAGTTTTGCTTCCTTATTGTTTTCAAGTACAGTACCTGGTTTAATCATATTGTGTAATTTAAAAGATATACTGTATGAATTTGTATAATCCTGTTGTCTCTAATTGACATGAAACAGTGGCGTAACAGGCGCGGGGGGGGGGGCAAACTTCCCCCTGACAGTTTTTACCAGGCTGAACTAGCCGTCGTATCGGGCTGTGTAATAAGAGAAAAGAAAGAGGGGAGAGGGAGGGAAAGAGAAAGAAGAGGAAGAGAAAAGGAAAGGAAAAAGGAAAAGAAAAAGAGGAGAGAAAAATAAAGACAAGAATAAAAAGGAAGATATTATAATGACCAGACTCACAACAGACTCTACACTTAACTCCTTTGATCGCGTAGGCTAACCACCGGGGAACAAGGGGAAAATATCTATCTTTGGAAAATCTTTCCCACCCCTTTATAAATGCCCTTTTTATCCCCTGAAATTGCCTAAGAATCTCAAATTTGTTGTTTGACGACTTTTTTAAAGGTTTTTGGATATTAGTTTTCCTTTTTGCTGATTTTGTGATTTTTATGTTCAATGTTGATGAGAAACTTCATCATGTTTTCTAGAAGTGAAATTTCTCTTTTGAAATGGTATACATTTATGTTGTCAAAGATTATGTTGTGAGTAGATGAATTATTACTAATTTAATGACACATGTCATAGTTGCATTTTGCAGGTACCCTTTTAAAAGACATACACCTATTATTTTTTTTATTTATTTGTTACTGAAAACTACCATGCTAGATAGTCAAAATCGACTCAATACAACCTCATATTCCTCAAATGTGCTGGGCTTCAAAGGGGGCTTCGCCTCCTTGCACCCCCACCAGGACCCCGCCGGGGCCCTGGGTGGCTCCCCCTGGCCCCCAACCTAAGGCTGCTCACTTAACTCGCAGATCACTTTAGGTTCACATAACACAGTCCTTTAAAGCTGCAGCAAGACCATTAGTACAGCATGCTTTAATTTGCTAGTAGGGCTAAAATGCCCCACTCTGTCTTCTCTTAGTTTCAAAGTGATAGTCATCTTTGTAAATTTGTATCTAACATTAAATTTGTATCTAACATTAAATTTGGTGAGGTTCTATGATAAAATTTACTGAATGTTTATTGATTACTACCCCGAAAAAACACATGCTGCTTTCTGTTGAGAACCACTTAAGCTGGGCACTCAATGCATCATACGACTGTCGCACAACAAATCCGCCTCTGCTTCCGGCAAGCGGTAGATGACGTAACGCTGTCTGCTGTCAGTGGCAGTCTGAACGGATCCTCATTTAAAAAGCGGTCCGTTGCCATCGCGCACAGTGAGTACTCAGATTAAGCGTGGTGTGTCTCAAGCACCATGCTGTGCAGTCATCTCAAGTACCGACTTAAAAACCTTAAAGGTAGACTCTATCGGATCCATGTGAAAATTTGTCGTTCAGCTTTGCAGATTCCTTGAGAAGACGCTTTTTCTTGGCATCATCAAAACGATTGACTTGTAGATCCACTTCACGATCGAATGGCCGACGTTCTTGCGGTTCATTGTCGTCTTCTTGCTGTGATGAATAAAAGATTTCTGTTAATTTTAATAATCTGCATTTTGTACAATTACTTGTGGTTTTGTACAATTACTGGTGGCCACATTCTGCCTCTGGAGAACTAATAAATAGCAAATTAACAATAACAACGTTGCACAGTTTCACTAACCCACCAATTGATCCTAAAAAATCTAATTTTAGGATGCTTTTAAATGAGCAACACACATTTTAATAAATTTCTTCTTTTTTTTCTAATTATTTTAGTAAAAAAATGTATGTTAAACTAACCATTTTTCGTTTAAGTTCTTTTTGGTGCATATCAACCAGCGACGTGCCTCTGGTGTTTTGGTTAAAAGTTGAAATCCTTTCTTCAATTTCCTGATCTCTTTTTGATTTTTCTTCCCTATCATTTTTCTTGTGTTTTGATGTTGAGTCTGCAGACATTGCTTTTTCTTGGAGGTCCTAAATTAAAAAAAAAATGCTTATAAAAATAAATACAACTTCAGATGACGACAGAAAAAATATGCTGAAGACGATAGTACAGTAGTATCAGCAGCAGCAAACATCAGTGCTATATCGTCTTGCTGTGTATTAACACAGACAACCACACCAGCTGGTAAGTGACTGGTAAAGTTCCTTGCTCAAGATAACAGCGATATGCACAGCAAGGGTTTGAAACCTCGACCTCAAAGTTTGAAAACAAAACCGTTCCCACTGTGCCAAACCACTTCAAAATTATCCAACACAATCACCAATTTCAATATATAACATCAGTTTCTGTATAATATACAGTATGTAAGAGCAACAATTTTGTTTGTAATCATATTTTGTGAAAAAAATTTACCAGTTAGAATAATTCTATAAGAGTCATAAAAGTTAGTGTCCAGACGTATAATAATATAAAATCATTCATTTGTCAACAGAATGGAAACGCAAGTGAAGTTTACATTTTTAGTTATTGTGGATTGTTTAGTAATATTAGTAGGGCAAGATGTTTGTTATACCTTGATTAGCAAACTTACTTTTTAATAAGGGCGAAAAAATTTGTTTTCTCATTTAGCAAAATGATTTTGTCAATGCCATCTAGGCGGAGGAGAAAATGAAAATAAAATGTTATTAATGAATTAAACAGTGTAGTAATGAGATTGATTTCAGGGCCCCAGGGTAGTGGAGGGAGTAATAAAAATAAATAAGGAATTTTATTTTTTTATGAAATTTCCACTTTTTTGTGGTTAAAAATGATTTTTTTTCTTTTTTTTTTAAGCCACTGATATTGTAGTCATTAGCAGGTTAGTATAAAACATATTGCTAAAATCAGGTAACAATAGTACACAATAATTTACAAAAACGTTAACCAGTAATTACTTTTATTCTCTTTTCTCGATCTGCAGGTGTTTCTGTCCATCCTGATCTGTCTTGCTTAGAAGGCGCTGCATTCTTTCGGAATGTTCGGGGCCCCAGACCAAAGTTTTTTCCATAGTCTGGTAGCTCCATCATCCATGTTTCTCTCTCAACCTTCTCTTCTGACTATAATTTAAAATGTAACAGTAGCAATGTTAAAATTGGTGGTAACCAAGTATTTTATCGCAGTTTCCTTAACATGTACTGTTCTGACACATGACAGCCAACCTTCGAAAGACGGAACTAATTGATTGACTGATCATTAGCAAAAAACTACAGTAGTTATTTCATGAATTGATAAACCTCCGTTCAGACTATCTATATTTTTTATTTTTTTTTTTGACAAACATGATGATGTGAGGTCATCATCACTATATTTGACAATCTGGATAGGGCTTAGTATGAATATTGCAATGAACCAAAGATGTACTGTCAATGTTTATACTGTCTGTGTTTACACCACATATATTTGAGTAACAAAGGTTGAAATACGCGTTTATTTGAGGAAGGCGGTTATTCGAAGGAGGAGTTTATTTGATGATTAATTGCTTACCTTATTACTGTATGTAACTTTCAATTGAAAATTAACAGTTGCGTATACATTAATAATAAATAATGACCACAGCGCTGGTATCCACCTATTAAACATTTTCCATGTGAAATATACAGGCGACTAGATTTTAAGTTACCGGTAATACCCAATTTAGTTGGAACTGTATTTAGTAAAGTCTGTACAGAAAACTTAATTATTTAAAATAATGTACTATTTTATGATGATTTTATTGTATAATTGCCAATTACATTGCTAATAAACTGACAAATATTTACAGTATTATTTTATTTTTTTTATTTTATTTTTTATTCAATATGCTCTTTAAAATATGAAACAGAAACATATAATTATGAACTGATCAAAACACAAGAGCATTTTGGGAATAACCCCCAAAATTGTGAAAAAGACAATTTTTACAGTGGTCCCATTTACAAGAACTGACTGAATACTGTATTGTATTAAACGTCTATATTTATCAGAATAAAGCAGTTTAAAAGAAAGTTTTAAAAACATTTTAAACTTACTTTTCCAGTCAACCTATTCTTCATGGCCTCTGCTCGAGCTTCAAATTCGCTGGCAACGCTACTGCTGCTAACTTCGTTGCCAGTTGCAGGCATAGGGCCAATCATATCATCATCAGTATCATCATCTTCTTCAATTGGTTCCCCCACTTCAACACTTTGCTTGAATCCAGGCGGAAGTGCAGGACCATAGCACATGTCACCCTGACTAGACGACACAAAACTACAGGGCTCCGTCTTTGCACAAGAACTACCAGGTGACAATGTCCTATTGGTTGTACAGGATGAGCTGATTTCATTAATGGGGTCAACAACACTCACTCCTAAGTCATTTCGATTCTGTGTAACATTACTAGTTGACTGTGGCAAGACTGGTCCAATATAACTTGTATTTTTTGCTTTGTTACTACGGAAATTAGGTGGTAAAGCTGGCCCTATTGTTGCCTCAGTGTCTGATGTAGAGCCATCTGAATCTGGAAGAAAAAAATTATCCATCAAATCTAAAGGAAGGCTAATTCTCAAATCAGTCTTTAAGTTGAAACTTGGCATGAGGAAACATTATGGTTGTACAGTCTGAGTGCGCATTGAACCAGTACAGCAAGGAAAGAATTTTTTTTATACCTCGTTTGGTAAACCCGCCACCAATAATAATGATTTCGAATGAATAAAAATAAAATTTTATTTTTGGCCAATTAACACACATGCCACCACGAAAAAATGGAAATTTCAGAAAAAATGTTTTTTTTTTTTAATTTTATTACGCCCACCGCTTCCTTGAAGTAATACACATATTTCTTCCTAATCATATAAATTTAAATTATTTAACCATCCCATTACTACACTGTTTACATTCAACAATAAAATTTTATTTTTATTTTTCCTCCATCTGCATGTTTTTGGGAAAAAAAATTGCTAAATAAGAAAGCAAAATTTAATTTTCATTTTTTCCCCCTCCTTGGATGATGTTTAAAAAAATAAGAATAGAAAAAGTCTTGTCTAAGTTGATTCCATTAAATGACCCATCACGCGTCCGGTTTGTTTGATTTAATGATTTTTTAGCATGGATGTCTATCTTATTTAAACATGTTTTTGTTAGCACAGCAACAGGCATTTACACTCTTCAATGCAGCAGTTGTACGAAGTGACAGTGACACAATAAACCGTTGGATATTAACAATTTTTTTTACTTTGGTATGTTATTTGTGCATCTTTCTGGAACAGATTAACTATCATACTGCGAAAGTTTTTTAATTGAAAAAACCAACTCAAATTTTCGAGGAAAATCACTAGGGAAATACGGGCACAGAATCATACAATTACTTCATAATACATCGTTTATATATTAAGGTCATATTTTCAGCAAAATCTGCACTGAAATCGGCACTTATTTCTAGGTCAAAATTTGGAGCAGATTATATCAGAGTACGACCTAAGAGTACAACAATAGTTTACAAAGTATTCCTACAATACTGTAAATTTTTTTTTTTGCGGAGTAAATCTTTAAAATCTGTTCAAATTTGCACGGAAAATCGCTAGGCAAATAGGTGCGCGAAATCTTAATTGCTGCATAATTGAATTGGATATAAAGACTTGTTCAAAGCCTAATTTTCAGCAAAATGGAAATTGGTCCTTATTTTCTGAAATGCACAGATTTTTTTTTTTTTAATTATTTATTTAGGCACACAATACATGTGCCAAGGATTGTCAATAGCAAATATATCACTGCCCTACTTGTAGGTGACAATGCCTTACACAAGACAAACATACACGCACGATGCTTTACACAAACAAATCTCAATATGAGACTTAGGGAGTGGAGTTGTTTTGGTCGTGAGAAAAAATCCTGCAAATCCTAGCCAAACGTTGGCGTAGAAGATAGATAGGCCTAGGCCTATATTCCCACCCAGCACAGGCCTTACTACTACTGGTGTTCCTATAATTAGTATTATTAATATTGTGCTTCTCTGACAAGCTAGGCCTAGGCCCCTACCTAGGTACCCCCTAGGCCTAGTTTAGGCCTGCACTAAACTATACATAGCTAGCTAGTCTCGCGGCCCCACCTACCTAGGCCTAGTCTAGCTAGGCCTAGGGCCTAACACAACTGCCTACATATAGTACAGGGAAGACTTAGCCAGGCTGCTACTAGGCATCACCGAAAAGGCAGAGAGTGTATTAGTTAGCTTAATAGTGTTATGAATCTATCGTATGAACGACCCATCAACATATTCACTCTACCATTACAAGTACTAGGCCTGCTAAATGAAGGTGGTAGAATAGGTCCAATGTTATCCCCCGACATCTTGACAAGAGTTTAAAGTCGAGCGCGATTTGGCGATGATGTGGTAATTATTATATCTGTTTTATAGCTCTATGGGTTAATCGCAACTGTGCTATGCCGACAGAGGGCGTTAATCTTAGACTTATAAAAATAATTAGCAATCATACCCGCAGTCATATGGGAATAAATATACGAAGTGTCTGCTCAGGCCCGTAGCCAGGGGGGGTTTTTATGGTTCGGGCGAACCCCCTCGAATTTTTGAATGAGTCCCACTCGGACGGAATGTATGTTTTTGACTTACCTAGCATTAAATCAAAATTTAGCACTTAATTCATTATTTGGTCACCCATTTTTAAATTGTAGCCTGCGATACAAGCCTACATTCATTTCATAGAATATCTCAGCTTCAGAAGTTCGGAGATTTAAAGTGAACGCAACTCCAGCAAACCATGACTTTACGATGGCACTCATAAGAATGGCAAACATGGATAAAAACCCGGCTGCCGTCTCAACTTTCACTAGGCTTTGGCTGAATATTTGTAAGAAATGTACCAACCGTTAACGAAACCGGTCGCCGTCTACCTAGAGTAAATGGTGCCACCAAACGAAGCTAAAGTTTTGCGACTTAATCCACCAAATGCAGATCAAGTTTCGCGACTTAATCACCTGATTGTGGATTGTGTGGTTAGTAAATTCCTTAGCCATACTGTCCATAGCGCACACTAAACTATGTGCTGTTGGAGCATTTTGGGGAAATTGACTCTCCTTTTTTCCATCCCAAACAAAATATTAAAATCAACATGGTCCATCTCAGTCATCAACAGCAGACACACACTACAAAACGGAGTGCGTCAAAACGAGTGTTTGTTAATTTTTAGTGATAAAGAAACGTCCTAGAATAACTGACTTTTTTTCGTCCGCTGTTGCAAAGAAGAAAACGACAGATAGTCCTTCAAGGTGGGTTATTGATCAAAATCAATTAGCCTAGCCTAGATGTTGACTAGCTAGGTTCGCTCCTCGTTCATTTAGAGACAGAATTATACCCCGACGACAACAAACCAGTGTAGGCCTAAGTACAGCAGTAGGACGTACTACAGGTACTAGGCCTAGGCTTTTGTTGTAAAAGTTGAAGTGCATGTACAAAATTCGCCATATGCCTATATTTAAAAAAAAAAAAAAAACAACATTTTGTTAATTATTATTGGTTGGCCTGGGACCGGGGCAGGCAGGCCAGCTTTACCGTCGAAAGTCCTGGAATTCGACGTTGACGTCAATGCACATTTACAAAGGCCATTGATTAGAATGAAAATAAACACGCTGAATTTCGTTTTTTTTTTTATTTTATTTTATTTTTTTTATGAAAGATAGAATTTATCGAACATTTATCTATATAAAAACAAGATTAATATTGTAGAAATTTTATTTCTAAAGATGCATATAATTCATATTTCATTTGGCAGACAATAAATATTCAGGAAGATATAATAAAAACGATTATTAATTCTAAAATGTGCATCAAATCTCAGCTATTATTAATCGGTATGTAGCCTATTATGTTAAAGTCTTAAAATAATAACTTCGAATTAGGCTTAGTATATAACAAATAATTGTATTAAAGTTTAGGTTCTCATGATGTCAGATAACGTATTGAATATGATGCTATATTTTGGGCTCTGACTTAATTTAACGATGGCCCTGTCAGTAGTAAAGACAATATTTGTGCTTTTTTAGCCACGTAAAAATAGTACTATTATTTTCAGTGTACAAAATCAGAGTTAAGAAGAAGTAGTAGCAGAAGAAGGAGAGGAAGAGGAGGAAGAAGAAGAATCGTTTTTTTTTTTGTTTTTTGTTTTATAATAATAAATGTGTTGAGTATATTGATATTGATTATGCGATGAGGGTTTATTTTTTATATCTTTCGGTGTTATTTAAACATGCCAATTCTCAGAAAATATTTTCTAATTTTATTATATTACCACCTTTTTATTACATAGATCTTTTAAAAAACATAACTGCTTTTAAAACATTATATAGACCCATTAAACACAAAAACTGCTCTGGCTTCGGGGGCTTCGCCCCCGACCCCACCGTGGCCCTTAGGCAGGCCCCTAGACCCCACGCCCAGAGAACCCCCCCCCCTTGAAATGACCTGGCTACGGGCCTGTATGCTTACGCCGAGTCGTAAACATTAATCATAGGCTACGGTATGCTTACGCCGATCTATTTGAAGGGCACCGCTTGCTTCATGAGTTCGAAAACGTCCTATTGAGCATGTGCAAATATTTTTTTTTCTGTAGCGCGCACTTGGTGAAGTTTCAAGATGGCAGATGAGGACACTTTGCGTCTCGGTGGCACTTTCACAAGCTATGAAAAATTGTCAGAAGCTGTATCGAATTGGGAGAAAGAAAATCAAATAAATTTATATAAACGATCTTCACGTAGCATCGATTCTGCCAAAAAACGTGCACCTAAAAGAAACTTCAACCCCGAATTAAAATTCTATTCAATCGATTACGCCTGCTTAAACCGAATTATACTACAGTGTTTTTGTATATTAATAACAAAATTGAATTGAAACTGTGTCACGCTCTCTTGTAATTATTGTATGCGTACTTGTTCATAATAGTAAAATTAAGAATTTTATAGGGACACGGATCAAGAGATGTTGGAAAGGTCGGGGTGAGGGATCGAGATAAGA